TTTTTTTATCATTTCCTTTCCCTCTCCATCCTGAAAATAGACCCAATCTGTGTAAAATACTTTGCAGCTGCTAAGTCCTTGACGGTGTACTGTCGACGCGAAGCTGGATTCGGGTAAAACGCAGTTTCGCTGTCCTTACCGCGACCAAGAGAGAGAACAGGCCTTGTACAAAATATTGGGATTACAATAAAATACGACGTCTTGCCTCATTGACCGCTGATGAAAGAAAGGAATTTGAAAATAGACTTTCACTAATTAACATTGGAAAAACACCTTCAATACAGGAATGCTCAAATTGTTCCTCGTTTGGCATGTAGGCGGATTCTAAAGTGATACGTTACATATGCTTCACGCGGGAAACCGTTTGAATTTTGCCGCTACTGCCTGAAAAGTTGGAATTCAGGATGTTCAACCAATTGCGGCATTGCATCGTGCACGGAAGAGCTTTGAAAAAGACCGTCGGATTAGATAGAAGTCCATCAATACGCGCTTGTCCTAATTGTGGATTGCTGATCGAGCACAAACAAGCATGTAAACAAATGACATGCTGCGGATGCGATCAGAAATTCTGTTTCATATGTCTGAAGAAAGCAAATTCTACAGGGGAGTACGTATACTAGTGTGGAAGTTTCAGGTCCCATTGTGAAATAGCAAATATCCAGACTGCTATCGGCCGAGCCGCACAAAACGTCACCTACCAACCTACACAAAACACAGGTTCCTCTTGTAACTTGGTCCGAACGATTACAGGGTCTAGCTTTTACAGAACATGACATCTGAACGAACACAAAGGATAAAGTGATATTTTGTGTATGCTATATAGTGTCCATCACTACACTCACGATGCTATACGATATTTTGGATCACCGTATTATGACTTTTGTATTATAATCAAATTGACTACCAGTATCCCTATGGGGTTTAACAGGAACCAATTACACTTCTGTACTACCGTGTTATCGCTTGTTTGAGTTTGAGAAAATTCTGTTTGCCGCCAATTCAACGGATAAGGACACTGTGATGTTTACAACTGTGTGTGCATTCAACAAATAGCCATTGAGAACTTAAATGTGTTGCTTTCTCTGTTCGTTCTATGCCAGAGTCACATTCCGATAGAATGCGTTTAATTTGTAGCCTCGCTACTTCTACCATCAAAGCTATTTTCCCCTATTTGTGACCAATACCTCTATTTGACTCCCTAGATATAACATCAGCAAATCTACAAACACGTGGGGGCAGTATATCCAGGTTTCACTGCACATAATGGCTCTTCCTATATATAGTATACATTGTTGTGGGATGGGCTTATATTTTGAAATATAAATAACACCCCACCTCAGACCAAGATTTACCTGTGCATTCATGACCTTAACACAATAACCTGTCAAATCATTCTTAAAATTTTCATATTGATATCAGGTGAGCCAATACTCATATCGGAAACATGGGAAGTTCTATCGTTTAATGGAGGTGATCATCTATGAACAGGTGTATGATGTACTGAATACACCTGGTCAGTGAACAGATTGAACCAACTGAAAACGATACAAGTTGTTAAACTTGTGCCCAACTCCCATCGTATATAAATTACAATAAAATATCTTTAAAACAAACACGAAAACGAATGGATCGCCGGAAAAATACAAGTAAGGGTCAACGTAAAAGGTAATTTTGGTCTTACCATACCTGTTTCTTAAAGCATCACCCAAACGCATTATCCCATATACTCTAAATTATACAAATCATATATATTTCAAACCGTTATGCTGCTTTAGATTAATAAGAATAAAAAATTAATTAGAACAGATTTAAGTGTTAGGGATAAGAAGTACATAAAGCGATTTCTCTTGAAAATATCTAAACGACTGACTTACGGAATGATACGTAATAGTTTAAACAAACGGTTATATTATCCCTTTTAAATAGAAGCAATCAACTAAACCACTAACTGGTGTCCATATAAGTTTTGGTTTTTATAATTATTTCTCTCTCTCGTAATTTTGCAGACGTGTGATATCAATTTGTGACAATGTACAATTGTTTAAATTTGTTTAATTCTATATCTTGTATCCCAAATTAGAAAGTTTGTTTATTTATAGCTGTTTGAAAGTACATACTGTACTTGCTCAGCAAAGTATTGAACTCGGGTGACATTTTATAACCAATTTAATAGTTTATTTGGTTAAAAGATTGAAGTGCGTGAACACTTAAACATAATGGCCTAGAGAGGCGATGATAGCTCGTTCGTGATTGGCTGAAATCCAAGAAGGATTTATCATGTCATCGGTAGAAGCCATACAGAAAGGCTGTTACTATTAGTCCAATGGCTGCATTGATATTTAACACCGTTGACCATCTCTTGTTCTCCTTCAGAAATCGCCTTGTCTGGGTCTCGTCAGTGCTTGGACTGGTCGCGCCAGAACTATCGTCAGGCATTCCACAAACAAAGTTACAGGCACGCTTTGCACATCCGACCGTTCTTTCATTCCCATCATCCGGTTCAGCTATTTGCACACCTGATATAAGAAGAGTCACAAACAGGTATAGAAATTGTTACCAGTAGCTTTTAAAAGATAAACATTCTTTATTTTACAACAATTATGAAACCGGTTATTAAAACTTATATTAATCACGCTTGTTGGCACCACCCGACCGCCTAGAGATGAGGTGTAGCTTTTACATGATAGCTGCTAAATGCATTACATTATGACTATCTTAGGGACAGTTTTAGATATTCAGAATAAGGTGCTTTAAGGACGAATTGAGAATTACGTTCCAAACAGCATGTTTACACTCTATAATCAGTAAAACACATTCTAGATCATAATCATATGACTGCAATACAAGAATATATTCAGCATCATTTCGTACAGAGTAATGTGCACACTACATTAGTACTATACCAGTACACTATCAGGGTTGTTATTATAAACAGTGTTGACGAATACAACGCATTGACGACTCGGAGAACTGTATGGGGGTAAGTAACAGGGTTTACTAATAGAAAATGTTGGCAGAGTAGGAGTGTCCTTAACCCTCCAAATCTTCAATGGAATTATAACAATTGAGTGCATAATGTAACGGTCTTACTTTTAAACGCTGACTATGGAACATGAGTTTAGAACATTTACACTTTAAACGCAGTAGAAATTTCTGTAATAGTTTCCTGTTATATAGTGTAGTGTCACAAATCACACTGGACATCATACCATTACTAGCCGGACGGTTATCCTTTGCCTGCTCGGTCTCACTGTCAGTAGAGTGGTCTCCCTTGTCTTCAGGTTTCATTCTGGTCCACCACGTCACTCCCACAAGCTACAATTAGAACAAACCCGTACCTAATATTATTCTGCTTTAACCGGTAAGGGAAGTTGAAACAAACATTAACGGGATTGGTTTGTTTTAAAGGCGTCATTTCAGAACCATATCATCTATGTTGTACAATAAATGAAGCTCCATAGTAAACATGTGAACCAAATGAACCAAACCAGACAAAAAATACCAAAAGATGAATAAGGAATAAATAAAAATATTCCACTACTTACCTCCTCCTCTTCCTGTGGACGTGTAGCCAGACTTATTATGATGATAGCAGCAGAGGTGACGACGATCATAATGGAGCCGAAGTATGTGTAATGAACCCTTAGGAGTACCGGCGGACGAGTTTCCGGATCTCCGCACTCAGGCGCTGGGTAGGCAAAGTCTAACCCCATCCGTATCACTCCGCACATATGCCCGATGAGAATACCCCAGAATGCTCCCTGTGGATGTAAATAACAACTGCATTCAAACAATATAGACATTAAATGTTATTTTTTAATCTTAACGTAACAATAATAGTCAAGGTAAGGTTGACGATTTAAGATTCTCCAAATACAGCTTCGTACCTGTTCATTCATTCGTTTCCAGAAAACGCCTAAGACAAAAAGTGCTCCGATCGGCGTGCCCAGGTAGCCCTGAATGGACTGGATGTAGTTAAAGAGTTGTCCTCCTTGTGATGATCTAACGAGGGGAATCCATGCAATACTGATACCACACAGGATTACAATGAAGATCCTACAAATGATATATTTTAGAATAGGATCATCGTAATAGACAGATGAAAGTTAAGTGTTTGATAAGGCAGCAGGTCATATTTTGTTTCTTCAATGTTTGTCAAACAGAAAACACAATGTTTGTCAAACAGAAAATACAATGTTTGTCAAACAGAAAATACACAAGAAAACCCCAAATCTGCAGTGGTCCCAAGTTACTCGCCTCTTATGACAACAGTGGACAACAATGAACATGCAGTTGGACAAAGCAGGACCATTCTGTCCCCAAACCCACAGGGTTACATACCATAATGAAGCAAACTAAATGTGTTAATGGTGTAACAAGTTAGGTTACCACACCTGCCCACGATGAGGAGTTCCCGCTGTGTGGCCCTCGGTCGGGCTCTGCGCCACAGGTCCATAGTGAATATTGTACTGGAACTGTTAAAGATGGAGGTCAGGGAGCTCATGATGGCCGACAGCATGACTGCCATCAACAGGCCACGCACACCTAGGGATAAAGGTCAGAGCAAGATAAGAAGCGTTGTTCTTAATCTATAAAGAATTCGATGAAGTAATTATCGTTAATTCAAATACATTTGATTTTATGTATTTAAAATCGTTACACATAGCGTTGCATCTATAACTTTTTAATGTTTTGAATATATATACACACTGTCAACTAGTTGGTTCAGATGTAAGGCCAGAAGTACAGAGTGACAGGAAAATGATCAGCGGAAGTAGGACCTGATAACTTGACAATCCATCCATGTAATACATGATCAAGCAACACAACACACATGGAGGCACGCCCTTAAATGACCTTCGCTGTTGATAGGACGTTAAACCCTGAACAACCAACAGACCAACAAGCTACCCCCATATACTACACTATCCCACCAGTAAGTATCAGAGACAGGATGATGATGTACAGCCATAGTGGTAATTTGTTAGTCTATAGGTAAAGGAGATAGATAAGCAGATCAGAAAAGTCCAACCTGAATAAGTTTCCAATAATACAGAGCTAGAGTAGCACATCACCTGACTCTTACGAATCAACTGAAATAAAGTTTTTTTTATTTTTATTTTTCTGACATTGTATAATGTCTTTGAGTACAGTACATGTGTTTTTGAGATTTGGTTTTATTGATTTTGTTATAAATGTCATAGTTACCAGTTGTAATCATTTAAGGGCGTAACTCAATCTGGCCGTAGTCTGTTGGCCCATCGTATAGCATGGTTACCCGGTCACATGACACAGACAACGAGTTTACTAGCTGTTGTAATTACCGGAAATGCTAAATGTTAAACAGTACTTTGATATGTCCATGACTGGGGACACACCCCATTGCCTTCCTCACTTGAGTGGACGTTCTGCACTAATGCTGAAATAAGGCATTGCCAAGCAAGGTGCTAAGAAACACAAAGATAGTTTGGAAGAGCAGAGAAAATATGAATATCCCAAGTGTTGAAAGGAGTGCAGCAGATTTATTTCGGTCACTTTTGTGTCCCCAATTAGAGGGTACAAAAGCAAATCCCAAATTCTGCCAGGGGTTCAACTCTCATCAGGTGCCTCTTACAGCTTTAGTGGGTAACAGCATTTTCTTTTCTCAATCCCCGACCTGCAGTTCATTTGAATATATCTGCAATTAATTGTTTCATTGACTTAGAACTGCATAAGATTTGCTTGACGTAAGCTTACCAAAGGGGAGTAACTCCAATACCAACTTGGGGTAGGCTATGTTTGAACAGCCAGCCGGGTTGTCGCAAACCTCCCTGCAAATGTCTGGGTCTACGCACGCAACCTCGTCTGTGAAAAAAAAGGAACAAACAGTTTTATGTCATGAAATGGCATATTGCACACGCTTGGGTCATTAGAAAAGGTGTAAAATTAATATTTCAAATAATATTGCATTCTTGACATACTATTTAGTTAGTGTACTTGTCTCGATATCAAAACTTACAAACACCAGTAACACTTGTGAATTAAACGTTGAAATTTTAGGTTACTGTTACGAAAAAAGGAGGATGTTTTCATCCTTACCTGGGAACAGAGCTCGACTAATCATCCCCGGGAAGATCATAAGGAAGATCGGCAGTAGTTTGAGGTAGCCGGCCATGATTGATCCCCCTTTGGCGTGAGACAGGTTCTTGGCCGCTAGAGTGCGCTGGACTATAACCTGGAATGACGCAGCATGGGGGACTTGTGATGAACAATTACAATGGGTTTCACCCAGGTGAATGACAAAGAATACCAACTATATAACATATATTAAGTGTGATGACATGCCGATCAATATCGCAAAATTAAATATCAAGTTATTGAGGTAGCACTAGTTAAGTAGAAACAAATATGTTTATCCACAACGGATAGTTTCCGCGTTTAGATCCTCTCATTCACTCGTCATCGTCATTTTCTTGATTACTCTCCTCCTCGCCCTGTAGTATAGTTACCATGTGTCTAACATTTAAGCATACCGACCATGTTAAGGGTGCAGAGCCAAGATAACAATTTATATTTAAAAAATATAACGTCCCTACCCATTCCAGTTGACTGTAGTCGACC